TGCCTTCGGCTCAGGTCATGATCCTGGAGTCCCGGGATCGAGTCCCGCATCAGGCTCCCTGCTCGGCAGGGAGTCTGCTTCTCCCTCTGACCTTCCTCCCTCTCATGCTCTCTGTATCTCATTCTCTCTGTCTCAAATAAATAAATAAAATCTTTAAAAAAAAAAAAAGATGATCCATATGATTGTATCAACAGATTCAGAACAAGTATTCAATACAATTTCAATACCCATTCATGATTAAAAATTCATAGCCAGGAAAAAAGGAGAACTTAACCTTATAAAGACTCCTTCTTTCTTTCCTTTCCTCTCCTTCCTTTCCTTTCCTTTCTTTTCTTTTGAGAGCTAGAGAGGTGGGGGAGGGAGGGCAGAGGGAGAAGAGAGAATCTTAAGCAGACTCCTGGCTAAGCACAGAGCCCAGTGCAGGGCTTGATATCACGAACCTGAAATCAAGACCTGAGCTGCAATCAAGAGTCAGATGCTCAACCAACTGAGCCATCCAAGTGCCTCATAAAGATTTTCTTAATATACATGAGTGCATGTGCACAGACCCATACTTTAATAGGTAGATATTACAGGTATTCTTTTTTAAAATCAGGAATAAAATAAGGATGCCCACTGTTACTTCTGAGTGATATTATGCTAGCGGTCCCAGCAGCAACATAAGGAAAAGAAGTAAAAAGAATAAGGATTTGAAGAAACAAAATTGTATTACTTTGATGTTATTGTACATTAAACATATAAAAACTTCAAGAAAATCTAACAAATTATTAGGATTAATAAGAAAATTTAGCAAGTTTGCTGGATACAAAAATCAATGTATAGAAGTTAAATGTATTTCTTTATATTGGTAACAAAATGTAACTTAAAAATATACCATTTATAATAGCAATATGTAACATAGTTTTTAAATATATACAAACGTAGACTACATTTAAGCATATAGTACTTAAATATAAACACACATATATTTAAATAAAAATACATATCCAAACTAAAAATAAAGCTAACAAAAGATGTTAAGCTCTTAATGGAAAAATTAAAAATTGTAATGTTTCATTGAAAAACATTAATGAAGACATGAAAAAATACAAAAAGAAACTTTGTTTATGGATAGGAATATTAAATATCCTAAAGATGTCGATTCCTCCCAACTTGATATATAGATTTAATGTAATTCTAATAAAAATCTTAACAGATTTTCATGAAACTTGACAAGCTGATCCGAACAGAGGGAAGAGGGTTAAGGGAGAGAGAATAATAAAGACATTCCTGAACAATAATAAAGTGAGGGATTTATAGACTGGCCCAGGACAAAGACCAATGGAACAGAATAGAGCCCAGAAACAAACTCATGCATATATGGAAACCTGACACACAGAGATTTCAGATAGTAGTAAAAGGAAGGACTTCAGAAAAAGAAATGTTTTTGAGACAAATGGTTATCAATACAGGGCGGCGGGGGGGGAGCGGGGAGGGAATAGGTCGCTACTTCACACCATGCATAACTGTAAGTTCTAAATGGAAAAGGACTTAAGTATGAAAGTCATACTTTTAAAACTTAGGAAAAAATTATAGAAACATCTTTATGACTTAAGGATAGGAGAAGTCACAAATTACATGCAAAAAGGAAAAGACTGATTAATGAAACTACACTAAAATTTAGAACGACATTAAAATCAAAGACCCCACAAAGAAAGTAAAAAGACAAGCCACACATTAGAATATATTCACTCCAGTTATAACAAAGGATTAGTATCTAGAATACATCCAACATACAAACTACAAACCAGTAAGAAAAAGACAAACACCCCAAGAGAGAATAGGCAAAAGACATGAACAGTCACTTTGCAAAAGAATCCAAATGTCATATATACATCAACCTTACCCAGCAGGAAAATGCAAATTAAAACCCATCATAATATCAGAATGGCACAATTTTTAAAAATCTGGATATGCCAAGTGCTGGAAAAGACATCAACAATGAAAACTACCATACATTTCTGTTAAGGGTATAAACTGATAAATCAACCTTGGAGAACTAGAGTATCATCTAGTAAAGTGAAAGATACACATGTCCTACGACCCAGCAATCCTATTACCACCACAGGGAAACTCTCGCACACGTGCTACAGTAGATGTGTACTATTTACAGCAACAGGGTTCATAACAGCAAACAACTAGGGGAAAGCCTAAAGTTGGATAAAGATATATTTATACAATGGGGTATCATATGTGAGTACAGTACATGTTTGTATTTCTGTGCTGTTGGTTGTGATCTCTCATATATCATCCATTCCTCATTCAAGTCACACACATGCATGAGCACTGTATAAGGGAACACTGTCGGCTCTATGGTCTGTGGTCACACTGCCTGGGTTCAAATCCTGACTAACTACCACCTGCTGTCCATGTATACCTGAATTAGATTTCCTAACCTGTCTGTGTTCCCTCATCAGTAAAATGGGGTTAATAACAGTATTTCCCTATAGGGTTGATAAGAAGATGAATGAAATAACACTTTATTACTACCATTAATATTTAAGAAAACAACCATACAGAAATGGGCATGATTACTTCTGGATAATAGATTTACAGGTGACAAATTTTTTTTCCCCAATTACTCAAATTTTCTACAATGATATTATGTAGTGTATAAAAGTAAGCTCTTCAACAAATGATGCTGGAAGAAATGAGTATCTGCCTGCAAAAGAATGAAACTGGATCCCTTGCTAATACCACATACAAAAATTAATCAAAATGTATCATGGACCTAAATTTAAGAGCTGAAACTATAAAACTCTTGTAAATTTCCACATCTCAGTTTAGGCAATGGTTTCTAGACATGACACCAAAAGCACTAGAGATTAAAAAAAAAAAAAAGTAAATTGACTTTAGCAAAATTAAAAACCTTTGTGTTTCAAAGGACACCACTGAGAAAGTGAAAAGACAACCTGAAGAATACCAGAAAATATTTGAAAGTCATCAGAGTCTAGTACCTAGAATATATAAGGAACTCTTACAACTCAACAATAGAGACAAAAAATTTAAAACTGGACAAAGGTTTAAAGAGATATTTCTCCAAAGACATATAAGCACATGAAAACATGTTCAACATCATTAGTCGTTAAGAAAATGCGAATCAGGGTGCCTGGGTGGCTCAGTCATTAAGCGTCTGCCTTTGGCTCACGTCATGATCCCAGGGTCCTGGGATCGAGCCCCGCATCGGGCTCCCTGCTCTACGGGAAGCCTGCTTCTCCCTCTCCCACTCCCCCTGCTTGTGTTCCCTCTCTTGCTGTGTCTCTTTCTGTCAGATAAATAATAAAATCTTAAAAAAAAAAAAGGAAAAGAAAATGCAAATCAAAACCACAATGAGGGGTCCTGGCTGGCTCAGTCAGCAGAGCATGCGACTCTCAATCTTGGAGTTGTGGGTTCAAGCCACACTGAGCACAGAGCTTACTAAAAAGCAAACAAACCACACACAAAAACAAAAACACACATACAAAACCCCCACAATGAGATACCATTTCAACTTCACAGCTACAAGGATGGTTATAATAAAAAGGTTGACAATAACAAGTGTTGGTGAGGATGTGGTGCTGTTGGGAGCCCTCACATACTGCTGGTGGGAATGTAAAATAGTGAAGCTGCTGTGAAAAACCAGTCTGTGGTTCTTCAAGAAGTGACGTGACCCAGTAATTCCATTGCTAGGTGTATACCCAAGAGAAATGAAAACATAGGACACAAAACTTGTACACCACTGTTCACAGGATTATTTATAATAACCAAAAAGTGGAAACAACCCAAATGTCCATCAACTGATGAATGGATAAACAAAATATGGTACATCCATATAATGGAATATTACACAGCCATACAAAAAATGAAGTAATGATACATGCTACAACATCAGTGAGCCTTGAAAACATGCTAAGTGAAAGAAGCCAGTCACAAGAGGCTACATATTTTATACTTCCATTTATATGAAATGTCCAGAATTGGCAAATCCAGAGCCAGAAAGTATATTAGTGTTTGGGACTTAGAGGCCACAAGAAATGTTAAGTGACTGTTAATGAGTACCGAGTTTCTTTTTAGAGTAATGAAAATGTTCTGGAATCAGATAGTGGTGATAGCTGTACAAGCCTAAATACACTAAAAACCACTGGATTGTATACTTAGGTGGGTGAATTTTATGGTATGGGAATTATATTTTTTTTAAATATATATATATATTTTTAGATTTTATTTATTTGACAGAGACAGACACAGCGAGAGAGGGAACACAAGCAGGGGGAGAGGGAGAGGGAGAAGCAGGCTTCCCGCTGAGCAGGGAGCCCGATATGGGGCTGGATCCCAGGACCCTGAGATCATGACCTGAGCCGAAAGCAGACGCTTAACGACTGAGCCACCCAGGCGCCCCTATTTTTTAAAAATATTTTATTTATTGATTTGAGAGCGAGAGAGCACAAGCACAGGGAGCTGCAGAGGGAGAGGGAAAAGCAGGCTCCCCACTGAGTGGAGAGCCAGGCACAGGGCTCAATCCAAGGACTCTGGGGTCATGACCTAAGCTGGAGGTAGAAGCTTAACCGACTGAGCCACCCAGGTGCCCCAAATTAATTTTAATAAAGCTGTCATTAAAAATACAAATTTGCACATAACATCATTAACTTTCAGTTTTTGGCCTTTCAAGGGGCTGTGTGGTATAGAGAAAAGTACCCTGACTTTGATTCTAGCTCCAGCTCTTATCAGTAATGCTATGGGCCACTCACTCAACCATTCTAAGCCTAAGGTTTTTCATCTGTAAAATGAAATGAATAAAAAAACTATCCAACCCATCTCATGTGGTTATTTTAAGACAAAACTAGATAATGCATCTAAGAGTGTGCACTATAAAATGCTATACAAATTCAGGTTATGTTGCTTCTACAGCTGGAGAGAAGAGTAAGGGCCACAGGTAGAAATAAAAGATCACTCTTGTTCACGCTTTCCATAGCTTGTAAGTCTTACCAGCTTACTGTTGCCTCCATTCCTTGCAACTTCTTCTTTCTTAATGTTTATTATAATTTTATATCTTTTAAGGCCCAAAAGGGTAAACTGCAAAAGGGTAAACTAAGCAGAATTCGGGTAATGAAATAACCAGAACGAAGCAAATGGTTGGGTAAAGACTATGGTCCTTTTTGCTGCTAGGTTAAATTAATTCTCCCAAATCTTCAGTCAAATAAGAGTATCTGACAGAAAATAATCAAGCGAAGTCATACAGACATTTAATTTTGTTACCTCCAGCACATGTATGGGGATTGAGCACCTCTCCCAACCATTGAGATGGCAAAGAGAGTCCACAATGCTGGCACTTCCATGGATCATTAGTCTATTTAAAAATTCCTCCTGAGTCAATCCAAACAAAATCAGAGAGAGTCCATTTTCTACAGGGAAAATAAAAGTTACCTTAAATAACTTATGGGGACTTAGGTTTTAGGATTATAACATGAATTAATTTCTAATTACTTAATACTTCAGTGCTGTAATTACAAATATATTTATTGGACACCAGGTACTACTATGACCATAGTTAATTTGATTTTTTAATGTTTTTAAAGAGGAGTTTTATTTTTTAAACACAGACCACAAGGTACATTCTAGTAGGAACAATGCATCCTATCAAACAGGACTAAATCTCACTTTTCTACTTTCTATTATCCTGCACAATCAATGCCTGGAATCTTAAACTATTTACAGAGATATTACATTTCTGGTTTACTAAGATAAAGCAAAGAGCATGCTCTTGACACAAAGAAATACATCATTATGCAAATTTGGGTATTAAAGAAGAGACACATAGTTCCCTCATATCATCCACAGCTTTATAGGAGGTTATAGCATGAATGCTGAATGAATACATATCCGAAATACCTATCCGAATATATATATATATATATCCGAAATGTCTACAGGGCCAAACAGGTGGTGAGACAAGTGTAAGAAAAACCTAACGAGAAAATGAGCTGAGCATTTAGTATCTGAGCTGAGCATTTAGCAGAGCAAAATTAACCTTAATTAAAAATAAAATGTATGAGACAACAGTACCAAGAGTAATACCAAATTTCCCCAGTGAAAGACTACCACTTAGAGGAGACAGTAGGCACTAACATCACCAGAGCAGAAATAAAATAGGTTTAAAAAGCACATCTCTCAGCAATTCAACCTGATACAAGACATTCTCACCTGTCAAAACAAGGCACAGCTGCTGGTCTCCACTAGTGTCTATAGGAATACACTTTTTGTCAAGGGAGAAACACTGCATACCCTGGGTCTCCAAATCCCAAAGGACAATGGTGCAGCCCATCCTTTCCACTGCCCAAGTAAACAGTGCACTGAATCCTGTCACAGACATACATGTAAGCTCAACAGGTTCCTCTTGTTCACTAATGTTCATGATTTTCCATGATCTCCCTGGGTCACTGGTGTTGGCATGATCCTTCTGTGGAAACTTATAGTGGCTGTGCATTATGTCCTGTGGAATGAAGGCCCAGCCTGGCATACTGGTACTGTGGTTACCAGATTCAGGGGACTCCAAATGCAAAATATCCTGGAACCATGGAGCACAGTAGGAAACCTCCAGTTTGGAGCTCTTTATTGTTTCATTCAATGATGATAGCTGGGCTTTCCAAGACCTGGAAGATAGGGTAGAACTCACATCTGTTACAGTGAAAGGCACTAAATAAAACACTAATCAGGAAGAAGATGCATTTAAAAAAAAAAAAAAAGCGTCTACTTCTGTAAATCCCTTTAGTAAAAAGGACCAAAAAAAAAAAAAAAAATGGAAATAAAGTAAATCCAAAAAGGGAGTTTCTGTACCTATCAACTTGAAAGGAAAACTTGGTCAGTTTCATGTTGTAGTCAGAATTAACAGGATCATCTTCATCTATCCCCTTAGGGCCTTCAATAGGAATGTCTTCTAGAGTTCTTTCACATAGTAGGTGTCCTGGGTGTTGCCTACATTTTAAAATGATAGCCATGGTCAACAATGATGATCAAATCCAAATCTGCGTTACTATTGCTCCTGTTAAAAATTGAGGGGAGGCGAGGGGGTGTCATACAGAAGGAACAGTATAGACAGTAAGTTTCTGTGAACAGGACTCCTTATCTCCATTGCTTATAGCATAGTGATATATAAGAATCTGACCCATTTATAACTATGTGTGGTAATGAATTGTTGGTAGTGTTCATTTCATAATACATACATATACTGAATCATTATGTTATACACCTGAAACAAATATAATGTATGTCAATTATATCTCAATTAAGAAAAAAGAATTTGACACTTATGGGCAGTTAGCTTTACGAAGAGATAAGAGCACTTATTGTCTACTATATCACAGATGTTGTGATAAAAACTTTAAACTAGGGGCGCCTGGGTGGCTCAGTCGTTAAGCGTCTGCCTTCCGCTCAGGTCATGATCCCAGGGTTCTGGGATCGAGCCCCACATCGGGCTCCCTGCTTGGCGGGAAGCCT